ACAGATTTTTAACCCTATATGTGTCGGAGGTGACCACAATCTGGGAATTATGTTTCATATAATTTTATCAAGAGAGCGCTTCGGGCTCTATGGGAACACCAAAAAAAACTCAGTAATTGTTTCGGAAGAGCAGAGAATTTGGTAAAATTAGCAATAAAATATAGTTTTACAATATGCAGGGCTATGATAAGGGGTGAGCGAACTGGGTGACAACCCAAAGTTGCTAAAAATTAGGGCCCCCAAAATTTCAAACCTTATTCTATACAGTTATAAGTTTTTTTTTCTTCTTTCACTTACTCTCCACGCTGAGAAAATTTCTTTAACTCGATCTTTATGAGGCGTGCTAGCTCAGGGGCTAGGCCAGCACCTACTCTAAGTGGTTATGGCTAGGCGCTCGCCTTCTAACTAAGTGACCCGGGGACGATCCTGGCGATAGCTGGTCGATTCGACACCGGCTCGCACCGACAACAGTGCTGACGTAAAATGTTCCCAGTGGTAGACGGATCATGGTTTAGAGTCCCTTTGCCGACAGGCTAACCATGGAAGGTTTTAGCTGTTTTCATCACCATCTAACGCAAATACGGGTTAGTTCCATCAAAACGTCCTCCACGAAGACAAATTTCTCCCAGTACTTGATACAGGAGTTTCCTCGTTTTCTGGATTGGGTTTAAAATTTTAAAGCTACGGAATTGAACATTACTTGTAGCAAAAACGAGAATTGAGTCGACTATTCAAAAACAGTTATGAAATAAAATAACATTTTAAAAAACTCGATCTTTATAAATTACACTCCTAATTCTAGCTCTTTCCCAGTACAAAAAGTTACTTATCTTATAGCCAGTTATTGCGGCACGTGAAAGTGTTAATAGATATTTGTTAATAAATCTTTCATAGATTCAATAGATTCAATAGATAGGAGCTGTCAATAGATTTTTCTACTAGGCGTTGTGAAGAAGACATTGCCGCTGTCATCTTCACTCATCTTGCTATTTACATACTTTATGTTAGAAATTTCTCATAAAAACGTCTAATTAACTATCTATTTAATTGTTATTTTACCATATTCCAACAAAACAGTCAAATAACCATAAGTAAGATTCTAATAAAACTATTAACAATGAGAAAAATCGTTTATTAACTTTTTTTTTACCTAAAACTGTTAAATAACAAGAATTTCATTCCATCAACTAATCCCAGCTAATGAAGCAACTTAGTTCCCTGCAACTGCGTACATATTATAGCCGAGAAAGCTAATCTGTCAATCTCGTGACCGACAGAACGGGGGTTCGTCTCCCTGCATTGACACTTTCATTCCCTTCAACACACTTGAAGAATTTCCATTGTCCTGCACTCTCCAATGCCTATTATCTAACGAGAAGTCTGGCTCCTATGTCCAGTTAAATTTCTTTTTTTTACGCTTTTGAAACCTTGGTAGCTGTAAATGGTATTAAAAAAACATACAGTTTTGTATTCATGATACCAGACCATACTAGTTATACACGGTTTCAAAACCGTGAATGTGAAAACTATTCTTTACCATAAACTTCACGGTTAATCGGATGGACAGACTGCTGCCAGTTATTTTACCATTATTTCAGAATGAAAATTCTAACAGTGTGTCAATGAATTAAGGTTAGAAGGACAGTGGATACTGCAGTAAATCAACCCTACTATACAAAAACAATTTTACTGATACTGTGCCAAATTTTGTAATTGATTTTAAGCACTTTTCATTCTGTTTCTGTAACAATAACTATTTCAGTTCATTCATTTTTAAAACTGAAACTAATTAAAACATATTTAAGATCAATGATGACAAATGCCAGCCTTTCACCTTTGGCACTCATTTCTATAGAGAATGATCTATCAACGTTTTTTGGTTTTTTTTTCTGTTTTAATAGACAATTTCGCTGTTGAAAAAGCTGGAAAACTTCCATTCTAATTTACTTATTCATACTTATAAACAATGTAATAATTTTTTTCCTTACATTTGCTAAATCTTGGATATACTTTTCTTATTCCTAAGATATATTATTAGTACGAATTATTTAAATTTTTATTTCCAAATCTGTCTAATTTATTTTCAGTTAATAATCCTTTATATTAGGAGTATAATTTTTTAAATAAAAACATGAATTTAACTTTGACGTCATAAAATTATTTAGATTAAAAATTTCAATTATTTCCCAATTGTGAGTGTGTGACGTGCAATCCCTATGTACCTGCGGATAATGTCAAAAAAAAAAGCAAAGTTGGCATGATTAAAAAGCATTTTACATAAAAAATCCTTTATTTTTATGATTCATTATAATTTTTTTTTTCATAGATATATATAAGTAAATATTATTTATACAGTACTGCATTGTCTAAAATTCATTTAATTAAGGCTAGAGTAATAAATCACTGATATCAAATCTCACTAATAATAAATGTTTTATTCATATAAAAAAAATTTTAATGTCCAAAATTAATCATTTATTGTCTAAAATTTATTTAATTAAGGCAGTAATAATAAATCACTGATATCAAATCCCATTGATAATAAATATTTTATTCATATAATAAAAAAAAGGTTAATTAATTGAAAGAGGAAATAAAAAATTTTCTGCTGAAGATTTATATGTAGATAAGATACTTTTAAATGATATTTTATTGTTCTTTCACGTCATTTTCGTATTTTAATGTGCCCATTGTAGTATGTAAAATAATTTGCTGTTTTAATATCAGTAAATATACTTCAATTATACCCATTTAATGTCATACCTTTAATACAAATAATTTTTAATCTTATTTAATATGAAGTTAATGTATCTACTTGCAATTAAAGAATAAAGAATTGTCCTGCCAAGAATAATTTATTAAGAAATACTTTCTGTTCTAAATTAATTTCATCTTCATTTGACAAATTGATTCTCGGCCCTCACAATCCATTAAGGTCTTGAGTTTGATAGAAAAAAGTGTATGACTTCATTCATTCCACAATTAGTTTGCCATAATTAAATAATAATAATAACCTTTTTTTTATTAGTGGTGCTAAGAAATTTAGTAGCAGTAATGCTATTAAGTAATATTAAGTATTATTTATACATTGTATCAGAGTTTTAATCGTTAAACGCGAAAAGATTTTTTTTTTTAAAAGTCAGATTAAAATAAAAAAAAAACGCAATGCTTACATATATTTTTTTTTAAAAAACTAAAGCATGATTTTGATCAACTCTGATAAAATGACTCATTATTTCGCCTAGGACAGCTAAAATCCTAAGCACACTCCTTATAATATGAGATGGTTATTTTATCATGTCATGATACCTTAGATCATGGCACAAAAACTACATATTTTGTTCGAAGTTTTCTATTTTTAACTAAATGTGAAGTAATAAGAACTAATATTTTGAAACCCAGAGTAACCCATCCCGGTAAACCGTTACCATATGAACGGAAAAATTACCGATTGAATGGTTTGAATACTGTATATTTTGGTTTTTATTAAAAGAATTTTTGCCACGTTTGTCCTTACCACACAGTACAATAATTTTGCTTGAATTCTTTCCTCCCTGCAGATTCCGTCCTGTTTGACAAATATCGATGAAACCTGGTAGCTGCTTTGTTTATGTAACACGGGAAAAAGTAATTTGCAATGAAAAAAATCATTCACATTTTAACTGTACCAGATGAGAAATGTGAGCAAACAATTATAAGCATGCCAAATGTCTACAATCTTCCAGTGCAATTGACAAATTGTTTTAGCTTTGATTAAATAATTTTTCCACCAATGCTCGTTCTTTCTTCTGCAGAATGATTTGCAACATGCAGGTGACTAGCAAAATGTGGGTCAGATGATAGTTGCAATAACAGACGTTTTAAACCACTTAAAATTGCGTATCATCCTTTGTTGTATACGAGAAGTACCATCTAAGGATTAAAATGAGTGCAATTTTTACCGTACACATTTTAAATAATTTAATCGTAATTTGATTTTTTTTTCTCATAATCCATGTTGCAAATTTCCAATGAATTCACCAGGCAAACTGGATTAAATCAAATCTATACTCTTAAAAATGTAATAATTCTTGCAGACGCATCAACACGTGCTTTTTTCCAACTATCATAGTGAGCCAAATGATAATAATTATATTGTTTCATCCAACAGTTAAAAAGAGACGTAATAACTCGTACTGACTTGCGTATGAAATAATCTTTTTCTGTTGTTGCTAATAATTGAGTTAAATCAACGATTTTGGGTGCGGTATTTAGTTAATATAGTAGAATTATACAGCTTAGAAAATTCTTTAAGCTATATAGTACTACAAAAACACACTATGGTTTAGCTTAATAAGTTACTTTAGGCTTTATAAGTTTTAAAAAATCTCAAAGAAGTTCACTGTTTTTAATTCAACTACTATAGTGAACCAAGTCACTTTAATTATTTTGTTACATTTCACACTGATACAAACAAGTAACAGTGATTTCTGTAAGAAATAAACATTTCATACTACTACTGCTAGTCGGGATAAATTGAACTTATAATTATGAGTATAAACCTTTTTTATTTTGTAGCTAAGGAATGACTTTAAGTATAATGAAAGAAATCGTAGAAAAAGATTTTACGTGATTCTTAATGAATTACTTTAAATTTCGAAATTGTAGAAGCCTAAATTTTACAACTAATACCTAAATTTTCAAAATTTTTGAATGAATTATGGTTTGACAAACGAATTATGTAATTCATCTCATTGCAACTAAGGATAAATTGAAAATAAGAAGGCTCATTATTATTTTAAAGAATGTTACAAAATAAATCAAAATGGAAACAAAATAAAATGAGACAAACAGAGCACTTTCAAATCTAAAAGTATAAAAAAAATTTACTTACAAATAAAAAGCTTTTTGACAAAAAGCAACATAAAAGAGACAGTTAACTATAAATACAAAGGAATGATTTTTGTGAATTTCTCCTCTTTGTTTTCTCGCTTCGTAGTTGACAATATGGCATTAAATAAATGAACTGTGTGGGAAAAGTATCTGCGTCTGACAGTATTCAAGTGGATGTTTGTATAAAAGAAACAACTAGCTGTATTTCAGATTATTCTTCACGTACAAGGACTTAGTGATTCAATATAGCTCTGATTTATTTCATTATCAAATTATATAAAGACATAATTAATGTGATACAAACGAGAAATTTATCACAAGCGAAAAAATAAATTTAGTTGTCTGACTATTCTGTTAAGAATATATAATTTTATTTAAATGTTAAGTTTTCAAAAAATAAAAATAATAAATGTGAAAAAAACACCAAATTTTCTTCAAACTAGTGATGAAAATACACTTAGTGCAACAATTTTGAGATTTTTTTAAAATGCACAATTAAAGCAAAGACCTTTTACAATGAAGTGGTTGAATCAATAAATTCAAATAACAATTCATAAAGTGGACAATTTAATGATGGGTGATTATTTGATGATTAATTTATAATTAATTATTGTTTAAGACACTGGTGATTAATTAATAAAATAAAAATAGTTTATTTGTCCGTTTTTTAAAAAAAATGGATGAATTCTTTAACTTTTTTCAAAGAGTTTGCCTTCGTTAGATATGCAGTCCCATAACCTTAAGTTAATCAAAATATTTCATCTTTTTTATCTCTCTTTTTGAATCTTAGTATATTATAGCCTGTGGCACCGTTAATTTAAGTAAGTAATGTCGATAGTATTTGGTGCAATTTAGCTGATTCTAGACTTATTACTATTAATTTCTGCTATTCAGTAAAATTTTAATTCGTGCACTTTTTTATAACCTTTTCTATTTTCATTTTTATAATCCTTTGTTAAATGATATTCTTTCAGGAACTATTCAAGTGAAATTGTATTGGCAATTTTCCAAATAAATGCTCACTAATTCTAATTTAAACTTACCAAAAGAACATTTTTTTTTAAATTATTAGTTTTCATCAATTAAAATATTTTAAATCTTCAACACAAATCATTATCAGTCTATAAAAATCCGATCATCAGATTAGTTTATAAAGTTATTCGAATTTTACACCATCTCCTCCTTCTGGTTTTTATAACGTAATAAAGTAACTCATTAACTATAATTTGTGATTAGAAATTATCAACGCCATTTAGAGATCAGTAATCTGATTAATATTATTATCTATTCAAACTTAACAAAATATCAAAAGCAGCAGAACTCCCATTGGGCAAAATGTTCGAGAGCAAGTTGTTAAATTGTTTGGAGCCTCGATTTACATAGATGCTAATGATTTACTTTTACATTTCAGTATTGTGCCCATCAAGAAGTATCCGATAAGAGAAGATACCCTACGTTTGCTAGGACACGACCACCAAACACTCAGATCTCAAGGTCAGTATCATCCCTTTTGGTGACACTTCGATGGATGAAGGTAGCTTTGCTTTACTCCACAGTTCATGCGGGAAACTTCATTGAAATATCTCGCTCAATTATAAATTCACTGCATGATGTAGGAGTCCAGATTAACTTCAAAGGAACTTGGAATCACATTTATCACCATGGTTACAGTGAAAATCCTTTCGATAAATTGATTGTGGAATCATATCAAGATACTCGAAGTAAGCAATTTCCTTACATTTGTCACTGCTGAAGTGATAGATTTGCTACGATACTAATTTTGTTTCAAGAGATTTATTTTAATTGTTTGTTTCAACACGCATATGATTTCGCTTAAATTCCACGCATAGTTCGCAAGTCATACAATTCTAAAATATTTTGCTAGCTAGAATAATAATTTTCAATTATTATTGCCCTTTTTATTAAGAAAACCAAACGATTTTAAAATATGGACAGAATGCTTATGTTTTAAAAGACACTTTTACCATTTAAAAATACTTAAGTGGTTATTCTGTCTAATTATTCAAATCTTGTAATAGACACATATAAGACGTTTTGTTTCAACACCAGCTCTATCTGATTGCAGAATTTTTCTAAAAAACAAGCAACATCTTTCATGCAAATATTCGTTTTTAAACAAGTTATCTAAGTGTTATTTAGAAGGAGTAAAAAAAATCCGCACTCTCAGAAATAAAACTCTCACCTTTGACAATTCAGCTGTCCTTAAATTATATTTTGCTTATTTTCAGAATAATGTCGTCACGACTTCACGTGATTTTTGACGTAACGGGATATCTCAAATATATGACAAAGATGTTTCCTCAATTCAAAACCTCATCGTAGTACATTGTGGGAGATTGTTAACTAGAATAACGAAATTAGAATGAAAACCAGATAATTAAAAAAAAAAAGAATTAAGCCGACTGTACTGTAGGGTTGCCAAGGAGTTGACTTCGTACTGGGAAAATTCCGAAATCGAATCCCGTTTCGGGCTCGGGTGTAATTTATCTCGCTGTTCTATTCGTCCTTCTTGGAACTGTGTTATATTTTCGCGGAGCCTGCACTGCAGTGTTTATCCGCGGTAGAACAGTTGTAGTAGTCTGGGGAGGTATATTGTAGAAGGTGTAATTTTACAAGAAAAATGGTGAGAATTCAGAAAGAACTGTCAAGAAAAGTTCTCTGGAAGATGTTGAGTGTTCCAAGATCCCTAAAAAAAGCAGGTATGGTAGCTTCACTTGGCTTGACTTTATGAGTGGCTTAATGTTCAGGCATCATTGATCCAACTATATGGAGCTCGCGATAAAGTGATTATTAGAAAAGTTATATAATTTAGGCACTACGAGTTGTTTTACTTTTTTTCTTTTGAAAAAAAAATAAAATGCCGAAATATCTCTAATTTTGACGAAATTTGTTTCTTTGAAAAAGTGACGACAGTTATTTCGTCACTTTGACAAAAAATTAGTTCGGAGGATATACAAGGAAACTGTTTCTTTGAAAACAAATAAATTTTCGTGATATTTGTGTATCAATTTTTTACAGTGCTTACATTTAATTCATAAGTTGTATACATATTTAAATTAAATAATAAAAAATAATAAATGCTAAAACTTATTTTTTGCATGGAATTATTTTTTGATAAACGAATTTTATAAACGCGGGTAAAAAAAATTTCAATTCACTTAAAAATTTCTCGAGATATAGTGAAATACACAAAAAGTAAAATCACTATTAAGGAGTCCAAGCTTTGGAGCGCTCTCCTGACCAAACTATTGGAACTATATTTCCCAGATTGCGGCTACCCCCTATATTTTGGGGGTCAGAAATCCGAATCTATTGAAAAAAAGATATGTTTATTCAAAGAAAGTGCGTTTTTGTGTCTGATATCGCAACTTAAGATATCGTCTGCTCTCAGTTTTAAGCATATTTGAGGTCACCCTCTTGAACCAATAAGAATGAGTGCTAGAACGTGAAGATCCAATAATTAGATCAAAAGTTATTCAGAGAGTCACCCTTTTTTTTCCTGGCGTACTATACATGAACGTAAAAAGAAGAAAAAACTATTAAATTAGCTAAGATTATGTTTTAAAGAAATACATTTACAAATGTTAATCGAAATCGGTATTTTAAATTATCATAAAAGTATGTTAAGTTATTAAGTAATTTAGGATTATTAAGTATGTTATTAAGTATTTTTTATTACTTTATAAAGTTCCATAAATTTTTAACCATTTATTTTATTATCTCTTGGGGTAGCTTTAAGAGCTATAATATTTTAGAAGTTATTATATTTATAGTAAATAATTTAACTCAATTTGAACGCATTTTCCTTAAAAGTAAATTTTGCAATAAAATTTATTTCCCTTTTACGATTAATTTGATGTCTGAATTCTTTACTCTAAAAGACGAAGAGAATAATTTATGATTTTCTAAGGAAAACTATATCAATTTCCTTAAAATCTATAAATAAAACATGAAGCTCGTTAGTTTAAACTAATTTTCAAAATACTGATACTTATTTGAAAACAATTCTATATTAGATTAAATAATTGAATATTTTATGAAAATATAGTTAATTTTACTGAGATATTACATTTTGTTTTTATTTCAAACATCTCACTAACTTACAAAATCCCAAAAACAGAATTTTTTCGTTTTCTTATTATAAAAACCGAGTGAATCAAAATCATATTAAATTTAAATGATTATGTATTTTTAAAAAGCAAGACAGAAAATCCCACTGTGTTTGCACTAAATAAACCATTTGCTGTGTCTTATAGAATATTTTTTGATTTAGGATGTGAAATAATTTAATTTCAAAATATTAAAAAATACTAGTCTTTAAATAAAATGTTTTTGCTAAATCTAACATAGAAAATCGATAAAACGTACAGCCATATAGGAAATACTTTATGTGTATTTTTCCTTTATAGCTTATAGAATTAACTTTTATAATTGTAAATCGTAAATTACTAGAGAGGGGCTAGTGTGGACGGATAAAATATTGAAATATTTTTGCTATTTATCATTTAGAAATTCTCTTTGAATTTTGATAGATTCTTACACTTTCACCAGCTTAAACCCCTTGAAATGTTTTTTTACGAAATAATTGTCCCTTCCGAACTAAAAATTTACTACTCACACTCCAAGTTCGAGCTTTATTTGAAGAGTTTCGCCAACAGAATCTCCCAAACTCCATCATTCTGGCAACCGATGGATCCAAACAATCTGACAAAATTGGCCTGAGAATCTCTGAAGGTTACACCAGGACGGTTTCCTTCCACATGCATTACCGCCGAAGGACTGGTCATTTTCTTAACCCTCAAACATTCTTTCACCACCAATGACCACTATATTTTTCTAACGATCCAGCCGATCGATCCTTCTGTCTCTCATCAAAGGTTCCAAAACAATCTCCGAAAATCTTTTTCTTCCTGATGAGATTGCTAAATCAAGTAGGACAGGGAGATCACTACCCTTAATTTGGGTTCCATTCCACACAGGAGTTGAATAAAATAAACAAGAAGAACATCTAGCAAAAATAAGTGCTAAATCGAAATTTTATTTCACATCCATCATCACCTCAAGACCTTAGCCGAACCTTCCTTAAAGAAGCACGCAATGGGAAAATTTAGGTCATGGAAGAATTATAAATACGTCCTTTCCTTTCCTCACCTTAATGATGGATCTTAGGTCTAGCATAATCTAATAAGCTCTCGATATCCGGATTTTCTATTCTTCAGGCTTAGAACAGAATCCCTTCCGATCAATGCGATCTTACCCAAGTGCAAACTGATACAAAGCTCAATACAACGGAGGTGTCTACACGAACGATCACCTCCTCCTGGAATGTCCCTCATTCCAGAATGCTCGTAAAGATCTCAATCAATTCATATCTCTTCAGAACCCAGGATTTAGAGATGTCGGCTCTCAATTCATGGAATTGAGTTGCTTGAATACTGAGTTTTTTTAATTCTTTTTCATTATGATTCAGCTGATTGTTAATAACGCAATTTAAACACATGGTTTATATGCTCAAAAAGTCAATTTAAAAAGAGAAAGAAATTCTTTTTCTTTTCTTTTATTCTCCCTTTTTTGAAAAAAAAAGAGAGATTATCAAAAATATGCATCTAAATTAGCTCGTGTATCATACAAAATAAAGATTCAATTTCAATAAACAAAATATCAGATATCTTCAAGTTGAGAATTAGTAAACATTTGCATCAAATTTATAAAATTTTTCCACACTACTCTCGCCTTGCTAATGATATCCTACTTAAAAAAGAGAAACATTAATTTCAAATTTATTTATTTTTACTAACTATGTTTTCATAGCTAAATTAGGTGTTGCTCATATGAATTAAAATATCTTTTTATCTCCTGTCACTTTTAAAATTTTATCGAGATAGAATTATAATCAGGGTAAAACAGCTAAGTAATTTTAACTTATAAATAACTCAGCAAGTACTCAAACAAGCATGATAATATGATGTTAATGTCTCAGTTACAATGTCTCAGGGAGTACAAAATATTTCAAGTATTATTCAATTAAGGGCATGAGACTAAGGAATTTATAAGGACTAGATTAGACGTCCCAATAAATTACTTATTGCGTATGAATCTCATGCGATAATATTCATTTAATTACCCTTTCTGTATCAATCTCTTAAAGCAATTAATTTTACTTAACACATAATGTTTGCTCTATCGCTGGTAAAATGATTTAATCTAGGAACTTGTCTCTCAATTTTGCTTCTTGCAGATTCTGAAAACTTCCGTGGAAACAAACTCAGGAGCTTGATAATTTTATTCTACTAATCTTTAATTATTATATGGAGAACTGCTGTAGCTTTCAATATTTAAAACTTTACTTCGGAAAACTGCTCACTCTTGGGAAGATGATGTATATAATTAACGCTCGTTAAATCTTAATTATAAATTGACGAGTTGAAAGAAAATTTTAACTCTCAATGTAATAAGAGGTTTCATCGAACTTTAATGTAGTGTTACACTGAATAGTTTAATTGATGCTTTATTTAAAAGCATGATAATATTCTCCTTTCCATGGCACATACGACCTCAAAAACGTATTTCATGACATAAATAAAGATTAAATCCTTATTAAAATTGGATATTGATATATCCTGTTTCCTTTTACGTCAAAACAAAGAGCTTTTATTGAATTTTCTCGTGAAATTACCATATTGTATGGTAATGACATTTAAGGTTAAACAAACCCAAAATTCTGGTATAATAAAGTAAACCAAAATAGTAAAACCGAAATATAAGCCGTTCTTTCGGTAATTTTCCTTTCATACACAGTTCACCGGAAATGCTGATTTTCAAAACATGTAGTAAACTACATGTACTACATGTAACATTTTTTACTACATGTAACACGCATGTAGTAAAAAATGCAAAACTGAAAAAAAAATTTAAACGAGCAAATGAGTTTTAATCCCTGCTCTAATGTTTCATAAAATTATCGAACTTTACCAGTTTTGCCAAAATTTAACACACATTATAAAACAATATTTTATTGTTAATTTTACCTAAATCAATATCAAAACGCTTTAGTGAACATTACCGTGCTTTTTGGTGTTCTCATCGAGCCAGAAACGTAGTAAATTTTAATATTTGCAGCAATAATTACCGTAAAATCACTAAAACAGTCTAATTAAATAATTATTTCTGTAAAATTACGGTATTTTATGGTAAAAATTGATTTTACGGATGATGCAGCCAAAATACCGCCACGTACTATTACAATTTGATCCGGAATTTTTTGCAGTGTAGAATAGGGTAAAGTTTCATCTTTTTTTATAAATGACGATAGCATTTTACAAAAAGGCTATTCTGTTACTTACCACTTTTACCCATTTATCCTTTCTATTAGAATAGTAAAAACATATATATATATATTTGTGTTTGTTTGTTTTTCCAGTTTATGTTATTGTGGGGTATAATTTTGAATATTTGGGCATGATGATGAGTCTTCGACAGAGAGGACTATTAGACAAAGGAGAGTATTTCGTTGTTGGCGTTGACATTGAACAATATGACATTCAAAATCCAATGAAATATTTAAAAGGTAAATTTCTATAGTTTAAAATTTATTTCTTTAATTTGAAATCTTCTTTTATTTGAAGTAGAGAAGAAGAAAGAGATTATTTTATGGATTTGTGTACACTTTCCATTTTCAGGGACGCTCTAATATTTTATCGTAGGAACTCATCCTAACTTTTTCTCTTTTTATTTTAGTTGTTTTCTTTTTGCTTTATTTATTTTATAAATAGCAACACATATCAAGTTACATAGTTTCGTTACATATGTAACCTTATTTTATTTTAGTGTATTTTTACTAACTGGCTAAGTTGTCTAGCGTCTAAGCTGTAACAAGAAAACCGTTGCAACTTTACAATTATTTTAAAAAATACTGCTGTTGATTAATCTCTACCAGGCATTTCTATTCTCAGATTATTAAAGATTAAGCAATGAATTTTAGTACAACTTTTAAGAAATTTTACAACCAGTTTTTTTTCATCAGTACGCTGGTGAACTTAGCTATTGCGCTTTTAAAGATGGAATCTTACAATCAAAATTTTCTCCCTTTTTCCAACTAGGTACTGCACTCAAATCTTTATTAAAACTCTATGATCGCTGATAATTCCAGAAAATTCAGACCAATTTTTAACTAGCTGGAATACTCAAATTTTAACTGGATAACAATACGTGCTTTCCGCTCAGCTACAAGCAAAGTTTTTGAGCAGAGCACGAAATTTTGCTGACTTGCAAGCTAACTAGGTAATTGGAACTTTAACCAAAGTTCCTTGCCGTAATCCTATACAATTTGCAATTGTTTTAAAATTGTGCAAGCGAATTTAATGAATTTTCGTACAATCAAAATTTTGAACACTTTTCAACATTAAACAAATTAACATTCACTAAAAGAAAACAATATACTACTCTCAAATGTTAGTAAAATCAGTCTGGTCTGATTGTCGATGCCAAATGATATCTAATATTGGTAATGTTATAGTGAAACAAACATGCAACCAATATCCTACGTGTTGAACGCTACATTAATGATATTCTACTGCTTCATGTTCGCTTGCTCCATGGTGCTGTCGGAGACAAATTTGTTTTTATGGACGACAACGCAACCTGTTATTGAACAGTCACTGTCGAGGAGTGAGTACAAGGCGGGGATATTCAACATCTCGAATGGCCAGCATGTTCTTCAGATCCGAATCCCATTAAAAATGTATGGAATGTTTTGGGGAGAAGTGTTGTTGGTCTAGAATACCATTCAATAAACAAGGACACCGTCATCTACGAACTGATAAATGAATTGGACAAATTGTCCCAATAGATGCTGAATGCTGTTGCGCAACGCATGCCCCGGCATCTTAAAACTTGCATCGCCCTCCATTGTGTTCAGACCTCCTATTGACATCTTACTCCATTATGCCTACAAGGGGTATTTGCATTTTTTCCACGTATTCAACACAAAATGACTATTTTATTCCTTGAGCATATTTCATATCTTCTGCCTTTCAAAGCACAATACATTATCTTTCTAACATTCATCATTTTTCTAACATTCATCATCTTTCTAGCAAACATCTTTCTAACATAGCAGAGCACAATACATTATGTTCTAACGTTCTGCCATTCTTCTATTTCACTATGCATTTAACCATGTTTAATTTCTTATGCTGTATGTAGCCATTCATTGTCCGTCCTTAGCAATTGTCCAGCAGTGTATTTTAGCAGTTAAAATTTTAAAAATAATTTTCATCTTGAAATCAAATATAATTAAGGAAAATTTATATTTTTGGCACATGTTTCTAAATTTTACGTTTTTTCCTTTAATTTAAAAAAAATGAACAAAAAGGATCAATGAGGTTGTTTTTTGAAATTCAAATTAAGCATTATGATTTAGCAATAAGAAATTATAGAAGAAATTCTTTTATTAAATCTAAATATATTCTTACTATTGGTTACACAGCATATTTACATTTTGCATTTTATACTTTTTCAAAATAAGCGTTGGAGATTAAAAGAATCTAGGCGAAAATTTCCTTCCATGTCCTAACTATAACTTAAACTAAAAAAAATATTTTTCCATAAAAACTAACCTTTTATTCATCCAAACAACAGAAATACAAGTTTAAGCCTTCGTTAAGAAAGATAAGTCACTAAAACAAAGTCGAAAAAAAAGCTATAGTAAGCTGGTTTTTAAAATATAATTTGAATCTCTTCCTCTCTGCAGAAACTTCTATTCAACCTTACTTTACAACTGACTTTTTAAGAATGTTTGTATTTTCAATAAAATCTGTATTCAATATTTTTTTCCTTAAAAAAAAGTTTGTAAATTTAATATATAAAAACAGAAGACCATTGTTTTTGTTAAATCACATCAAAACTGAAAGCAATGATAAGATTAAATATGTAGTGACGTGCAAAAGTCTCTGGGGTTTAAAACATTTTTCAGCTTTTGACAGCTAAACGGGGGGAAAACGAATATATTTTATTTTTATGTGTATTATAACCAATGTCAAATAACAACAGATTAGTCGTGATGGCTCAGAGGATAGAGCGTTCGTCTTCCAAAGAGGTGAACCAGATTCGAATTCCAGCGATTGCTGGTTGATACGAATTCCGCACCCAGCTTTCACCGTCTGCAGTGTAGACGTAAAATATCTTCAGTGCTAGACGGATCACTGTTTAAAGTTCCCTTGCCGTCAGTCTAACCGTGGAAGGCCATAATGGTTTTCTTCTCCGTGTAACGCAAATGAAAGTTAGTTCCATCAAAAAGTCCTCCACGAAGGCATATTTTTCCCAATACTTGATCCAGGAGTTGCCATGTCTTCCGGATCGGGTTGAAAATTGCAAGGCTATGAAGTTGAACATTGGTAGTCGTAAAACTCGGTTGTTCATCGACAAATTCATCATTGGGTCGGCTGTTCAACGACGGTTATAAAATAAAATACAATCTCTTCTTATGAGTCGTGGTGGCTCAGGGGATAGAGGCCTTCCAACGAGGTGAACCGGGATCGAATCCCAGCGATGGCCGGTCGATACGAATTCCGCACCTGGCTCTCATCGATCACAGTGCAGACGTAAAATATCCTCCGTGGTAGACGAATCATGGGTTAGAGTACCCTTGCAGTACCGGGGGGTGCATTCGTAGTTTTCCTCTCCATGTAACGCAAATGCGGGTTGGTGTCATCAAAAAGTCCTTCACGAAGCCAAATTTCCCCCAATACTGGATCCAGGAGTTCCCTTGTCTTCTGGATNAGCTCATTGATTATAAAATGATTAATCCTTTCCCTAAAAATATAGTTTGGTGCTATGGAGTGTTTCAAAAACTTTATACAAAAATACCAGGAGTTACATTTAACGAAGGAATTCCTTCCAATATAAATAAATTAACTGATACTTTAATAATAATCGATGATTTAATATATATATATATATATATATATTAAAAATCCTCGGCTTCACCGTTCTGTATTTAAATTGAAATATTACTCGTATATTCATTTTTGTCCGATATGATTATTTCCAATTCACTGGTAAGAACAAAATATTTGTAATTAGACTAAAATAAAAAATGTCTTCTGAAAAAACATCAGAATTTAAGCTAAATTTTTTGTACAAAATCTTCATTTGCACGAAATATGTGATTGCATTTTGAATATGTTGTACCGGAAATTAAAATCATTATTTTCCAGGATTGCTGAAAGAAGACATCGAAGAAGAAGCAAAGAAGGCTTTCCAGTTTTATCTGGGAGTCGTCGCCTCCCCTTCCCAAGAATCAGAAGACTTTACCAGAAAAGTGAATTATTATATGCAGCTTCCTCCCTTCAATTTCCCAAACCCTGTTCAAAGCTTGGGAGGATGGAAAAAGGTTTGTTTTGTTTATTCCTTGCATACAGTAAATTAGCTTAATGTACGAGCAGACGGGCGTGCTTTCTTTTGACAGAACGCAAGGAATGAATTAACATTTATATTAAATGGCTGTAGAACCTGAAAAATGACTAAATACGAAACTATTTATTGATGATCAAAAGAGGTGAAAAATAAATGCGATAAGTTATTTTAGTTTTGGAACATAATTAAATATAAGTATGTCTTGCTCTAATTACATTGGTTAAATTGAATTCTTCTTCTCAGCGAGAAAGGTTGGCTTTTCCAATAAGTATATGCTTTAACATTTGAAAGACATGGCTCTTATTGTACTGCAGTTCTACATTATGATACTAAAAATTTGGATACTTTAATGCTAATTTTTACTTTCTGCGTATTTTACCATCTCAAAGAAGTCGTATATTTAAACTTTTATTCATCAAAAACAATTCCTCTGATTCCTATCAAATTTTGGATTTTGCCACTCAAAATTACATGTAAAATGGTGTAAAAATTTGTAGGTCTGAAATTTTAATTTTTTTTTTGCTCAGTACTAAAGTAAATAATTTAAAAACAATTAAAAAATAATGAGCAATTAATTATAATTTTTGTGTGGAATTATCTTTGAATATACAAGTTTTATACTCGACTGTGAAAAAAATTTAGGTTCCTTCATTAATTCAGAGGATATGGTAAAATACGTAAAAAATGTAATCATTACTAAGGGGATCAAACTTTGAACCAGTGAAGTAATAATTTATAAAAGGTTCTCTTGTGGGATTTAGTAATAAATAAAAAACATATTCCTCCCCCTTAAGTGAACTCCCCCACTTCCCCCAATAACCATAATTTTTCCTAAACTTTACCCAAAATAATAATTAGTTGGGTCTTTTCTTTTTTTGATTTTTTGCTTATCTTCTTAAATTTTTACTCAATTTAGACTTTTAACAACAGCATCTGAACAGAGGGTTTGCACCTTAACACTATTTCTAGTTCCAATTTGCCATAATTTTCGTAAAAAATAAATCGTTTTCTTCTAAAACCACGATTTGTGATGCTTTATTTTTTCATGCAAGTAAAGTTTGGGAATGTGAGTTTTCTCCAAAATTTTATCTTTGTTTTTAAATTTCAGCTTGAATGTCCTTTCAAAATACATAGAAGGCACCATATTGAGATTATTACTTACTAACCTGGTATATTACATAGGAGTCAAAATTTTAATAGCAAAATTTGATATCATAATTTTTACATTTTTTGTTGTTTTTTAAAAAATATATATTATACAAAACAATATCCCAAAACGATTTTTTTTATTCGATTTATCTTACAAGATATTAACAATTAAATTTTGAAGCTCTTTTTAATTAAAAAATAAATATATAAGGATAGAATGAACGGATTTTTAAAAAATGTATCTCATTTTACGCGGAAATAATTGAAGTTTTTTAATAAAATAATTATAATAAAACAAATGTTTAAAAAAATTTATTTTTATTGCAAAATTAAGTTGTAAAATGAAAAACAGAAATGCTGTTAATGTCGTACAAAGTTCAAACAAAACCCATTTTATTCTGAACAAAATGGCTTTTCAAAAAAAAAAAGGATCGCAATTCCATAAAAAGTTATAGCTTTTTTCACGAAACGCTGCACCGCATCGCGCTCTGCGGTCAGCGCTGATTACCTCATGCGCTGCGCGTTCATGTCTTGAAACATGATTTCTAGCAAAATCGCTAAGTGCCTATTTAATTGAAAGAAAAAACAGCTTGAAAGATGGAGAGTTTCTAGTTACCCTTGACTTTTCCGAAAATTATGCTTTCAAAATACAAGATTCTAGTCAATCTTTTTATTGGTATAATTAGCAATCATCCTTACATCCGTATGCTGCTTAATGTAAACAAAATTAAAAGCTTTGACATCATTGTTTTACCATAATTTCGGAAGAGGAAAAGCATGACACTACAAGTATGCACTTATTTAATAGTAAGCTAATTCAATATTTACAAAATATCTACGGCAGTGATAATATTAGAACAATTATTTACTTCTCGGATGGAGCTTCGTCACAGTATTAAAACAAGAATAGTTTCAAGAACTTACTCAATCATAAAAATGATTTTAACATCTATGCAGAATGGCACTTTTTTGCCACTTCTCATGGCAACGGGGCATGCAATGGTATTGGTGGGACGGTGAAGAGGAAAGCAAGAAAGAGTAGTTTGCAAACACAAAATATAACAACACCTAAAGAATTATTCGATTGGGCATGTAAATTTTTCGATAATATTCAGTTCGACTTCTGCACAAAAACTGAACACGAGAATGAAAAAAAAATTGGAAACAAGATTCAAGAAAGCTTCAACAATTAATGGAACTAGAGAATACCATACTTATTTAGTTGAAAATTTTGAAACTCTCAAATGTAAAATATATTCCTCGAGTTCCAAGTTTGAACTCAAAAAATTATGTAAATAGATTATAAATAACTAATTATTCATAATATTATTCATCTAAAACTATAAATTACATATTCATTATTTAATATAATGTTTGTTATTTTGTGAAACTTTAGTTGAGGTTTTTAAATTCCCTCCAAATTAACTGATACAGCGCAATTGAGCGATCAGCGGAGTGGAGTAGCAGAGCGCGCCGCGGTGCAGCGTTTCGCGAAAAAAGCTATAACTTTTTATGGAATTGCGATCCATTTTTTTTTTTAATTNTTTTTTTTTTTTTTTTTTTTTTTTTTTTTTTTTTTTTTTTGAAAAGCCATTTTGTTCAGAATAAAATTTACTTTAAAAAAGGTTTTGTTTGAACTTTGTACGACATTGACAATATTTTTGTTTTTCATTTTACAACTTAATTTTGCAATAAAAATTAAATTTTTCAAACATTTGTTTTATTATAATTATTTTATCAAAAATTTCAATTATTCCCGCTTAAATTTCAATTATTTCCGCGTAAATTGTTTTTAAAATCCATTCATTCTATCCTTAGATATTTATTTTTTAATTAAAACGAGCTTTAAACTTTAATTGTTAATATCTTGCAAAATAAATTAAATAAAAAAAATCGCTTTGCGCTATTGTTTTGTATAAACTATACTTTTTAAAAAACAACAAAAAATGTAAAAATTATGATATCAAATTCTGGGTGTTACCGCTATTAAAATTTTGACTCATAGGCAGTATATTATTATAACCAACCTGGGATATCTCAGATATTATGATTGCTAAAAAAGAGTACATTTTATATTAACTTTGTTAAATAATTGTTTTTTGTTCAAATTTCTCTTTTTTTTTTACTTTGTTAGATTTTTAATTTAGTTATATGTTAACTTTTTATTGGAATCGAAGTGTTGGAACAAAAAATGTCCTTAAAATGTTTGGATTTAGGAGATAGGGGACTAAGAGGAGAGACTGTTTTTGTCATTTAAAAACATAAAATTCGGAAAAATTCTCTTTCCAAACTTTATTTGCATTATTATTAACAAAAAGAGACATCGAAGGTAGTGGTTTTAGGGGAAAAAACTGAAAAATTATGGTTACATAAAAGGTTGGGATAAAGGGGAAGGTCGAAGAAAAGTAAACCCTCTTCTCAGGTTCTGGAAATAAATTGATGAAAGGGTAAATATGATTTTAGAAGTCTAAATTGAGTAAAAATTTAAGAAGAGAGACATAAAATAAAAAATGGAAAAAATACTAATAATTATGATTGGGGGATGCTTTAGGAAATATTACGGCTATTGTGAAGGGTAATGGTCTCAAGGGGAGGGGGGATATTTTTTTTACATATTACTATTACCCACAAGAGAATTTTTTTATAAATTTCAAACCTCAATTAATTTCTCCCCTCTATTTTATACCCGTTAAGGCACCTAGAGAGACTTCATTTCAATGCCATAGTCATTATTCCCGTACTCATAATTCTTAGATTTATTACCCTACTGCAACATTGTAGGTATATATTTTGTACGAATTTTTCTCTAGTTTTTAAATATGTCATTGGAAAATTTCGATCTTAAACCATAAAAAAAATTGTTATTTGGAAAAAAAAAAAGATTTTTCCTGGAAAAAAACTTTATTTTCCGGAAAAAGTTTTGCTTTCAAGAAACGTAAATGCACAAAAATAAAAACTCTAGAGAATTTTTTCAGATTAGACCCTTTATTACTTGGACTATAAGTTTTTCGAAAAATTGATATTTAGTACTAGTACGTGAAAATCCAAGCATTAGATCAAAAGTTATTCTAAGGTGTTCACTCTTTTCACATTGTACTTATAGATATGAATTGTGGTTGTAATTATTTTGATTTTGAACGTGATTGATTAGCTGGAAAAAATTTCTACATTTTTACACATTATGAAACAATTTTAAGTTATAATTTTTTAGTAGTTACTCCTATTTTGTGTTATATTCAACATTTAAAGCATTAAAATAAAGAAAATCCTTCAACATCTTGAATTTATTTTTGATCTTTATTGGGAATAAAAAACCGATTTATTTACTTTATTGTAAAACAGGTTTTCTAAACATTAATGAAAACAGCCAGTATTGTATTTCAGTTTTGTTTAGAGAAAACTATATTATTTTTCAATCCTAGGCTGTTTATTTTCCTGATATTTCCTTTATTTACTATTTATCTTCCATTTTGACAAAACTGTTAACATCAAGCAGAAACGTATTTTAAGCTGCAAGCAATTTCTTTCAGCGAAAGTAAGATAACAAAATTTTAAAATCAATGTTTTCATTGCAGTCGTCTCACATACGGTAAAATCGTTTTTATCAAAGTTTAAATCACTGTTGAAATTAGGTATATTAAGTTAGAAGGAACTATTATTATTATGTATCAGAAGTTGTTAGAACGCAAAAAATCTACAAAGTGCGCGGGCTCAGTAATCCTTTTGAAGAAAGTAAAACTTAAAGAAATATCCTTGCTTTTAAGTATACGTGTATATTTAGAAATTGGATAGAAAATTTTTTTACAAAAGATTTCACTTATGATAATGAATTATACTTGTGTAAAATTTGTATTTATTTTTCTAAATATATTTAAAGATGTCTAATAAATTAATACATTTGAATGCGAGGATTGATTAATTATTCTCATTACACTTATTTAATTATATTTAACAAAATAAATATGTTTAATAACAACAAGAAAATGTATATTTTTATATTATTATTATTATTATTATTTTTGATGTTGTTGTTAATATTATTATTATTATTATAGTTATCATCATTATTTTATTATTATCATGCCGTTCTAATTTAAAACTAGCATCTATTACAGTATTTATAAAAATACTGTAATAGTTTTAAAAACACCTTGCTCGGAATAGTGCCTATGATTTTTTTGTATTTCCAGTTAGTTTTAATATGTGATGTATATTTTTCATTTTTAGTTTTATTAATTTATAGTGTAGATGAAATTTCAAAGGTATAAATATCAGTTGCAAGTCTCAGCAATTTTTCTGAACTCTTGCAATTAAGAATTTCTACTAAAAAGCACAATTAAATGTCAGAACATGTTACTTAAACAATTAGAAGAAATTATGGATGAATTATTTATTTATAGAATATAAGTTTCTTTTTTCATGATTAAAAACAATTTGTTTTTTCAGATACCTTCTGAGGGATCTTACTTGTACGATGCTGTATATGTTTATGCTAAAGCATTGAACAGAACTTTAATTAAAGGTGAAAATCCTTTGAATGGAACTAATATGATGAAATACATCTTCAGACAAACATACTTTAGTAAGTAAAATATAAAACTTATTAAATCAAAACTTATAACATTATGGTTTCAGAGCTAGAGCTCTAGCAACACCTCCTAGAAAAGAGTAGGCCTCTGCACGGGTTACCATAAATATCCTTTAGTAGTCCAAACGTAATGACATATTTCGTATTTTCAACCACTGCGCAGCTTAGTACCCCGAACGTAATGACATCTTTCTTATTTTTCATCTACTGCGCAGTTAACTTCGTCACATCGGACTACTAAATTGATCCGTGCTGAGGCCTTCCTTCTTCTAGGAGGTGTTGGCTCTAGACGGGTAACCATTAAAGTGAAAATGGATATCAAAAAATTAATCTTTATTACTTTATGATGAAATGATTTTTAAATAAACTAAGATCATTTGTAGTTATTTAATTTTTTTTAAAAATTAATATAAATTTTAATATGTAAATATTTTATTCCAAATTTTATTGCCAAAATTTCATCGAAATGTTTTTTAAAAATAAATAGCTCTGCATTTATTTCTTTATTTTTCACTTAAAAAATTTGAAATATACACCTTTTTTTACTTAAAAATACCAATTTTGAGAATTTTTCCAATATACATCCTTTTTGGGGCCGGGACAGCCTGGTTGGTAGGGTATTGGGCCCATGTCCAAGAGGTCGGGGGTTTGATCCCCGCCGGAAGAAGACTCCCCGCGTAGTAAATTGTGACCGACGCACATTAAATCTGTCGGGTCCCAAAGTCCGCCATGTTCCCATAACAAATCATACCTCTGGAGGTACTGATATAGGATCTTCCTTGTCTTCTCGATTGGATTCAAGATTACAAGGCTACGGAGTTGAACATTAGTAGCTGTAAACCCAAAATTGTGTCAGCCGTTAAACGACGGTTATAAATTATAAAAATAAAATATTCATCCTTTGACTTCTAACAGAGAAGGAGATATTTATTTTTTATCCTACGTGTGTGCTTTTCTGTTGTTGTGGCTTATTTATCAAGGTCTAGCTGCAAGCTAGACCATGTACAGGAAGTCGTGAATCCTCAAAAAGTTATATACAATAAGAGCTGTAGTTATAAGGTCCTCATGTAAAAGCCCCATGCAGTGGAGGAGATGTTCTGGGGAGGCCTGTGTTGACGTGCACACACGATAAGATTTCTGTCCCTCTGTATATGTAAGGCTCCCTATATGTCCACTCATGAGCCTGCTGATGGCTCTCTGGTCAGTTTTATTACTCCCAAGCTTGAGGGCACTCCCAGGAATTTTCCCAAAATACCAGAAGTGGTACGGAGGAGTCCCTCATATTTTCTGACTTGCAATCTACCCGATCCACCGTGATAAACGTGCAATGTGAGAGTATTTTTTTTGTCGTGTCTATGACATAACCGAATCAAATGTTTTCATGCGTCTTGATTACTGCTTCTGCGATTTGCTTGATATTATCGCCATAAAGGTCTATCAATGACGGCAAGACTCCTATTTCTCTCAGATTAGCACTCATTGCTGGACACTCAAAGATGTGTCATGGTGTCATCTGCGTATCTGGGCAGTTTTCACAATTCCTGTATACTTTCCTGCCCTCTTTGTCGATCTTCATGCCTCTGTGGTGATTGGTTCTCATCCTGGCAATAGTTTTTGTTGTGGATCTATCTGTATTCATATTACAAATCATGTGTTTCGTTGGAATTGGTTTTTCTCTTTGTTTAGATTTAGTAATTGCATTTGCATCTTGGATGGAGACGTTACAGTCATTAATGTTGAGATTTCTGGCATCCTTCGCTAATTTATTTGCATTTTCATTGACTGCAATGTCAACGTGTGCTGGTATCCACTGAAGACTGCAGGTTCTGTTTAAGTCCTGAAGATCATGAAGATTTTAAATGATTTCTTGGGTGATAGAAGAGTCCTCTTTTAAAATTGCTTGGAGGGCAGTTTTCGAGTCGAAGAAGATAACAAGGCCCTTTGCTTGCTCAGGGGTGGGAAGGGCTTTATACATATTTAGGGCCTCCAAAATTGACCGTAGCTCGCAGGTGAAGTTAGAGGCTATAGCGCCTGCTCCACATTTACCTTGTTTAGGGGAATTACTTAAAGTAGTTAAAAACACTCCGGAGCCCCCATTTGTGATAGCTTTATCAGAGGAACCATCTGTATACGCATGTACAAAGTTCTCTTTTGGAAACTGTTCAATTGTCTTGAGTCCTTTTTCTTTAATGATATCATTGTTTTCATTTTCATTACATGGCTCCAAGAGGTCAGTGTGGATATTTGTGTTCAGTGGAAGCCTTTTGCGGAAGATTGGTTCTTGTAAAATGACATATTTGTTGTGCTCAAGGCCTGAACATTGAACTCTAAGTTCAGGCTTTCTAACTCCTTAATTTAAAACTATCATGATAAAAATCATATTTCTAGACTTTAAAACAACATTATTTAATCATTCAGTTAGTTAATCAATATTTAATCATTAATCAAAAAGTTATTAGATTTTAAAAAACAACTACTGGATGATAATAGAAATCTAAGAAAGCTTTTAAATTGGAAACCTTTGAACTCGAGAACAAGAGAAAGACCGAAAAAGAGATAGTCTAACGATACTACCAATTATCTAACCACCTTGAAGGTGAAAAACAAGAAGTTGAAAGCCAAAAATAGGAAAGACTGTAATGATATTGTTCGCCAGGAAAAGGCTCGCACAGAGCTATGTAAGATAAGTAATATGAAAGTAAGCACAGACTAAGTAATATGAAAATTATTAAAATTAATGAAAAAAAAAATTTATGGAGGACAATTAACCTAGCAATCATAAATAATAGTAAATAATTGTTGCACATTTACAATAGTTAAAAAAAATAACTTATTTGTTTTTTTGTTTTGTTTTTTAACTAATTCTTATTACGACGAGCAAACTTAACGTACAACCCTATGTATGTAATTTTGCCCTTCAACATCCCTACATACTCAAATAGGTTCACCATTTGCGTTGTAACTTAAGCTTAAAATTAGTGTCACTTTGTCATTACATATTAACCTTTACAAATTTTCTTCAGTAACAAGATAAATAACAACATTTTGGTATTCCAGAAATTTTCAAAATAGCATTTATTTCTAAAATAAATAAAGTCCTTCTTTAAAAGATATTTATTTCTTTATAATAAAAGAACTTTTTTTAGGTATTATGGGATTTATGGTATATATGGATGAAAACGGTGATGCAGAAGGAAACTATACTCTGATAGCAAGAAAAGAAATCGTCAACAGACACGGAGAATTTGGACTTTATCCAGTTGGAGTTTTTCAACTTCCTGAAAATAAATCTGCCATATCAGTTAGTATAAAGCACTTTTCGTGATCATTTTTAATTGTTTTCCAATAGTTGTATTTATTTATTTATTTATTATACTTATATTTAATACTAACAACTGTCCTCCTCACAAGAAACTTAATTTTCTTTTCTTCTTTTTTTTTGCTTTGATAGATTTGTTACAAATCCTATCTTCTGTCATTTCATTTAATCTGTATTTAATTCTTAATCTGTGTCTGTACTTAATTCTAAAATCATGGAACAACCACTTTACTTTCATTTTTTCCATATATATATATATATATATATATAAGCTTTAAAAGTTAAAGCTTAAACTTTAAAACGCAATAATAAATAATAATAGAGTGTTAGATTAAATTCTAATGCCTTACAACTATTGCATCTGTCTTACATCACTAATTTTAATTTTAAAAATATGCGTTCTTAGATGATTTGATTAATCCCATGATTGCCTCTTGTTCGTCATTTCTTTTTTTAGAGTCGATAATTTTCAAAAAAGAAAAGATCATTTTGTTAATAAAATATGTAATTCTTAGCCACCTTTGTCGAACAGCTTGGTTACCTTTAAAAATTATCTTGTACAACATATAAACTTTAATGGTAATCAAGCCGAATGCACGGCGCAACAACTGTATTTAAATATTCTAATTCTTCAATCCCTCCTCCAATCCTAATTAGTTCTTAGTTCTAAGTTAATTAGTTCTAAGCAATATATTTACCAATTTTTTTTTCATTATCTAGTTGTTACCCGGGCGGGAGTAATTTGATTTCAGTTTTAGCAATTTTCAAGAGATGTCCACGAAGTTCTCTATGCATTGAATTTTAATGATAATTTAGAAATCTGTACGGCAGTAATTAAATTACACAAACCACCTTAAGTATGAGTTTGCGACAATTCAGCATAGCTGGCAGTAGAAGCATTAAAATTATTTTCATCTCAGTCATTAGATAAAGTAGAAAACTCATTGCGATGCTCCAAAACCTGCTGTATTACATTCTCGCGTGCCGACTGGCTTGTGCAAGGGTCAGGGAGCTGGCCTTGCATCAGAAAGGTTCTGGGTTCGTATCCCGCCGGTCAAGGCATGGATGTCCTTTCATTCTCTGTACTATCTGTCCTTACTGTGGGAGCAACGTTGGCCCACCTAATATGGTGCCCCTGAAAGAGCGGCCGACAAATCTGCTCTTCAGATGCCTGTATTGACGAAAGGTCATTCTCCAGGTGGGCATAGGAAAAAAAAACATTGTTACGTAGCTTTCGAGCCATAGCTTCAGGATCGCTTAATATATATGTTACTGTCAAAGCCCGAAGTCCGGCAATGTCCGAAATTTTCTTGATTTCAGAAACTGGCCGGCCAGATCGCGAAGTGTCCACGCTGTTCCGGCTAAAGTGCGAAATAGTTGAAACTATCAGTGAATATTTTACTTTGGTGGCCTTCTTTAATTATATAAATAATTCTTATAAATCTTCTAATTTAAAAATATAAAAAATAGAAGTTTTTAAATTGTCTATTAAATTATCATTAATAATCATTATTAAATTGTCTATTTAATTGCTTTATTAAAAAATTTATTTGCTAATATTACCCTTTTTGCTTTCTTTTTTAATTTAAAAATATAAATTTTCCAATTTAAAAATATAAAAAATAGACAAGTTTTTAAATTAAAATTTAAGAAATTTGATTTTTTACTTTGTCTCAAATGAAATCAAGAAAATATCGGACATTGGCTGGAACATCGTGGCCACGCGAATTGGCCGACTTCGAGCTTTGGCCGTAACATATATATGCTATAGCTCAAAAACGAAAGGCTTACTTTTTACGATATGCACTATAATATCGTTTACATTTAAAATTTCTGCAGTCATTTTAGAGAGGATCAGAAATAAATCTAAATAATTATTACGTAACTTAAGTTTTTATTTGTATAAAAATACAAAATTATTCCAAATAAATACCTAACGTATAAACTAACTATAGCTCGTTCACCAGGAGTTGGCACTTGGCTCCACCTTCATCACGTGGTATACGACTACACTATTTCGCTATTTTTGGGGGAAGGTTGTGAGCAATCCTGAACAATGTTGCTATTTGGCGATCGTTTGGCAAAAATATTTATTTCGCAAACTTTATGTGCATTTTTTTAACAATAAATATTTCATAAATTTGATGATATTTTGCACCCTTTTTTTATGATATTTCTTTCTTTTGAGTGAATAGTTTGTCCTTTATGAGACATTTCGCTGGGAGAACAGTAGTTTTTAAATTTAAACTATATTTAATTAGCAAGTGTAACAAAAGGTATAATAACAGATGATAAAGCAAAGTAAGTGACTGGAAAAGAATTAACTTTTTGTGTTTAGCGCAAATTAAGGGTTGTCTCAATTTCAACAACGGAGATGTTTCTCTTCTAACTCCCGCGCTGAAATGAACTCTGCGTCCCAGGAGGTGGAGCCAAGTCTCAACTTCTGGTGAACGAACTATATTCAACACTACTAAAATTATTACTTACGATAACCTAACAAAATAAATCTAAATAAATACTTAAAGTATAACAAATTTTTTAGTATTTCTTAAGTCATCACTTAAGACAACCTAAAAAATGAATAATAAGTATAGTGTTGCCAATAGATAGAGAAATTCTCGAGTTTATGATGCCACGTAAGAGAGATATATTTTTTCCAATGCCCACCTGTAGAATAACCTTTCGTCATACAGGCATCTGTTTGTTGGCCACTCTTTCAGAGGCACCATATTAGGTGAGCCGACGTTGCTCCCACAGTAAGGACAGATAGTACAGAGAATGAAAGAACATCCATGCCTTGCCCGGGATTCGAACCAAGAACCTTTCTGATGCAAGGCCAGCTCAATGATCCCCGCAGGACGAGATAAAGATATATAATGATTATAATTTTTTTCAAGCACATATTATATCAATATGTTAATTCTAAATAAATGAATGATTACCTGGATTTGAAAATTAATGCATTGTAACGTAAAGTTGAAGACCTAAAAGAGGCGCTTACGATTTTTTAACAAAGAGACATTTTAAAATTACTTTCTACGTATGACAAGATAGTATAGTGATTTTTTATCTTATTTCTGAATCAATTGTAGTAACTGATATGTAGCAAGAAACCCAATGCTCGAGATGCAATTCGTTTCATCAATCGAATAAATATAGTAATTTGCTCAGTTTGACGAAATACGTCAAGAATAAAGATATTTTCATAAAGTTTCAGTTTTCATTTCTTACCTTAAAAATATTAAACACTAGTTAGAAATATTTCCAATATTCTTGAGAAGTGTGCAAAAGGCGTACTTCTTAATTATGCTTAAGTAAAATATTTTCCAATTCGCAATAAAATATATTCCAACTTGTTGACTCTTCATATTTGCGTAAAAACACATTTTGTAGGTCTATGTGGAATTTTGAAACAGTTCTTATCATTGCATTTTGATTTATTTAAAATTATGTTTCTGGTTTTAGATCCTAAAATTCATTCATGCGATAGACTGGATGAATGGCAAACCTCCTTTAGATGAGCCTATTTGTGGATTTCAAAGGGAAAAATGCGTGAGTATGTACCGAAATTATAAAAACCAAACATACTTAACTATTACTCTTTTTCACATTTCTGACATAGAAATAGCATTGTAACATTGATCTTTTCCTCCATCTTAGGCAGATTCAATTTTTTACTCATAATATTGAAGAAAAAAAAACAGTTTGCATTGTAAGTTATCAGAAGTTTACCTACCGACCTGGTAGGTATGGAGCTGGGCCCATGTCCAAGAGTTCGTGGGATCGAACCCCTTCGGCCGAAGACTCCCCGTGTAGTTGGTGAATGATGCACGTTAATGTTCCCATAACAAATCAAAACCTCTGGGGGTACTGAATTGGAGATCGCTCGCTCTATGATTCAGGTCAAAATTACGATGAGTGACTGGATGCAAGAATGGTTCCGCCTTATAAACAGGTGTGACGTATGATGTGGCAGAAGTCGAATTCGTGGCCATAGATGGCGCCACTGAAAAACAAGAATCGCACTCTCTGCCTTAAATTTGCTCGGTTTCACTAAGCAGGCTTGCCCGCGTGGCAAGTGGCTTTAGAACCAACCAACCAGAAGTTTTAAAAATAAATTTTTAAGTGGTAATTATCTGTCAAACTGATCTATACATATCTAATTTCTAAAGGTAAACAGATATCCGAACTCATATTTTTTTCCTGAAGCATCTCATTTTAGCTTCTAGAATATGCAAATAATTCTATTTAATTTTATTTTTATACAGTACAAAACATCATTGCATTAACTTACAAAGACTGGTGTTTTTTTAATTAATACTTTCACGTATTTTACATATTTCAAATAAAACCTTTTGGGCTTACTACTTTTTCTACAGTTATAAAACATTTTATTTTCGCCTGTTAGAGCTTAATCAAACATTGCCAAAAAAAGTCTGTTGGCATTAAAATAAATCTATCCTTAGTTTTTTTTGTGTGGTAGGTAGACAATAAGTATCGTTAGATCCTTAGTATCTTTGTAGTAGTATCTTAATATCTTTGAAATGTAGATCCTTTGTACCTTTTGGGTAATATGTATATCCTAATGACTTCAATTTTAAATCTATAAATATAACATGTTAAACACCATTTTATTGCAGAATATCCAATTAATAAAAATGACCAAAAAAAAGCAAAATTGCATGGAAAAAATGCTGGTAAAATTACAGTTATGTATAGTGATGACATTTTTAATATAAAAAAAAAATTTAAAAAGCAATTATTACAAAAATCAACTTGTAACAAAAAAAACATAATTTGTGCTTATAAAACCAAAATACACAGTATTTAAACTATTGATTCTGTAATTTTTCAGTTCATATCGTATCAGTTTACCGGAAATTCTGGTTTTCAGAATTATGGTTCTCATTACCACACATTTAGCAAAAAATGCAAAACTGAAAAATAAATTTGTAGTAATAAATTGTTTATAGGTCATACTTTAAGGTATGCTGGTAAAATTACTAAGATTTGCCACATTTACCAAATTTTATCACGCATTACCACAATATATTTGAAGCTTAATTTAACCAAAATCACTACCACAGCGCTTTGGTAATTATTACGGCCTTTACCAAATTTTATTATTTATTATAAAACCTTATTTTATAGTTAATTTTACCAAAATCATTACCTACGAGCTTCGATAAAAGCACCTACAATTTTAGTGTTCCAAAGAGCCAGAAACACGGTAAAAGTTACCATTTTCTGGTAGTTTTGACCATTCTTTTACTTCTCAGAGTGAAAATAAGTTTGAAAACTTTTGAAAAGTTTCATCTTATCAGTGATAGGATATTATAGTGCTACATTTAATATCTGTTTTAAAATCTCATATTTTGACAAGCGACTGCATTTAAATAGTTTTAGCAGTTAATACTAGATTTTTTTTTAATTCTTAGTGTGGAAACTTGCTGCTCTGGTGTCTGGAATCATGGCTGCATTAATTCTTCTGATATTATTATTTGCATACAAGTAAGGATTTTTTATTATTTTTCTTTGCTACAAATCATACATTAAATTAATGTACGATGTTTGTTTTAAATAAAAAAAAACATAACATCCACATAAGCTTCAATGGAATAGTAATTTTAATCAATTCTTGAAGCTTCAAGAAAAAATACATATAATTTATTTTTTTACTTTTTTCTTAAATTTAAAAGCGTTTTTTTTCTTTTGGTGGAGTGGTTAGTAAAACAGAAAAAAGATTTTGATTTTAGAGTAACTTTTTTACTCTTTTACATGCACATAGCATAATATATAGTTCGTATTTGAATCGTAACATTAAATTCTTTACTGTTATAATTATGTTTGCAGAAACTGGCTTTATGAACAAGACTTAGACAATATTTTATGGAAAATTGACTATAAAGATATTCAAATTTATGAATATACTCCAACGAGTAGATTATCAAAAGTAAGTATGAAATCTGCTACCAAACCATTTTTGGTTTTTTTTTCAATTTTTTTCTTTAAAATGATGTTAAAAGTAGGCATATACATTATATCTAAAATAAATAATTTGAGTTGAACTGAATTGACTAATGATTTTTGATATTTGTATACGGAAAAAAAATTCTGATAAAATTATCACATTATATTGTAATTGGATTACTGGTTGGAAAGAAAAACATAATTCTGGTTAATAAAACCTAAATATACGATATTTAAGCCATTCATTTGGCAATTTTTCCGCTCATATGATAACAGTTTACCGGAAATTCTGGTTTTCGAAATTATAGTTCTTATAACCACACATTTAGTATAAAATAAAAAAAATTAAGTAAATTTAACCGAATAATTGGCTCTTATGCTATCCTCTAAGGTATCATGATAAAATTACCAAATTTTACCCAATTTACCAAATTTTATCTTGCATTATAAACCCATATTTTATTGTTAATTGTGAAAATTGTTATAAAATTAAAAACTGAATTAGCATAAAATTTATCTAAATTATTGTTTAAATAGTTTATTGCAGCNAAAAAAATCTGATAAAATTACCACATTGCATTTCTGGTTGGAAAGAAAAACATAATTCTGGTTAATAAAACCTAAATATACGATATTTAAGCCATTCATTTGGTAATTTTTCCATTCATATGGTAACAGTTTACCGGAAATTCTGGTTTTCAAAATTATAGTTCTTATAACCACACATTTAGTATAAAATACAAAAATTAAGTAAATTTAACCGAATAATTGGCTCTTATGCTATCCTCTAAGGTATCATGATAAAATTACCAAATTTTACCCAATTTACCAAATTTTATCTTGCATAATAAAACCACATTTTATTGTTAATTGTGTAAATTGTTATAAAACTGAATTAGAATAAAATTTATCTAAATTATTGTTTAAATAGTTTAATGCAGCTTGAAAAAAAAATGACTGAAATTGAATTAGCAATTTTTTGAAATTTTATATTTTCTTACACATAAACGCAAAACTTTTGCCTTCTACTGACCAGTTCTTAAAATATGTGTGAAGTAAGTTTCCGATGCTCTGAATGTAATATAACAACTTGTGTATGCTTTCTTTAATCCTTAAGTGGTTCTAATTTATTTCATAAAATATTAAATAACTAAAAATTTTGAAACATGTTTTTTAATTATCTATGTTTTGGTTTTCCTAAATTAAATAAAAAATATTGATTTTTAGCAAACTTTACATCCGATCATAAGAACAAGTCAGGTATCTCTAAGTTCCAATACTGATGGTGATTTTAGATATACCAACATCTACACAACAGTTGGAATTTATAAAGGACGTATGTTAGCCGTGAAAAAACTGAAGAAAAAAAGTATTGATATTACACGGAAAATGAAAAAGGAATTGAAAATGGTAACTTATTTTCTTTTAACTTTGACATTCTGTCTTCTATTTATGTACATGGGAATGAAAACACGTACATCTAAGTCTGTCAAAATCCTTTATCAGATTTCAGAAAATATATCTGTTTATTCCACTCGAAAAAATAAAATTACTTGAAGTGTGTAAAGTGTCGTCTGAGAAGTTTAATGCCTCTAAAAAAACATGAAATCTTATTTTATTTGAGTCAAAAAATTCAATACTTTGTATTTGGGTTTCATAAAATAAAATAAGTAAATAAATAAAAATAATAAAAAATAAAACTAAGAATCCACTTTAACTTTTGCGTTTCGATAACGTTCAAATTTCCAATATATTTCGTTTTCTCGCCATCTGAGAATGTCTGTTTATTCTAACATAAAAATTACATAACAATTTACATAACAATAACTTCGTTTCGCTTTATTTGTTCCTTGCTTTGCCGAACAAAATTTTTTTTGTGTCAAAATCGTCTTAAAATCTAATCTTTAGACAAGTTGAAAATGAAATAAAAAATAGAAATTTCCAGATTACCAAATGTTAAATTAACCAATAATGCACACGATCTTACTCCTTTCATTATCGTACCTTTATCACTGAAGCATCTCATTNTTCATTAATGATTCAAGAGGTTTCAATAACTTGCTTTTATCTTTCTCGCTTAAATGTTGACTTGCGATCCTTGCTGTTGTATATTTTTGACTTCTGCATAACTTGATTTACTTTTGTTTTCTGACTGCTTGATGCGTCGATGATTTTCACGATAAAATTGTTAATAATGATTTTGAATTAATATAATTCTAAATTATGCATTTATCAAATCAAATATGGATGTGGTATTTTGAGAAAAATATTATTTGTTCATGACACATTTGAATTAAAAAATTACTAAAACTATTAACTAAACATGTCTCTTCATTTAGATGAGAGATCTTCATCACGAGAATCTGAATTCGTTTATTGGAGCCTGTATCGAACCTCCTAACGTATGTATTGTAACAGAATATTGCTCAAGAGGAAGCTTAAAGGTCAGATTACTTTTTTTATTTGGAGTTGAACAGATTGTTTTAATTTTTTAATAGTTCTGTTACAAGCACTTTGTTTTTATGTTGTTTTTTTTTTAATTTGATTACATAAGACTACTTTAATAATTTATTTTTAATATAATTATCAGGATATCCTTGAAAACGAAGACGTAAAGCTGGACAACTTGTTTAATTCATCCCTTATATCTGATATCGTTAGAGTAAGTAGCTGTCATTAATTGGTTGTTGTGAGCAGTCAATTAGTAAGTAGTTGTAATTAAATTGAATTAAACAATATAGTGTAATATTAAGTATTTATTAGTGCCAATTTTTTGAATTAACACTGTTTTTCCCTAGTCTCCGTCGTGATATGAAATTCTGCTTTTTTGCGAATAATATGTTTTTTTAATACCTGCTGCGAGTTTGAAAACTGTTAATCATAACTGTTAGGTCAAGTTTAGCCTGTCTAAAGCCAGCACTGTCAACGCTTATTTTGAAAATGGCGTAAAATGTCAATATGAGGAAAAGTCACAGTTTTATGAAAATGAAAAGAATTTGTGGGCTAATTTTTTAACATTAAAATACTTACTCCAATGTTGTATTACCTGGGCTCATAAAAATTTGCAAAAACTGAAAAAAGGCAGCAATTTTGATAATTTTTATATAGGTGGAAAAATGTCGTAAAATTGGCGATTTTTAAAAAAGTTTGATAACTTTTAAATATTTAAGTTTATTGTCTGTTCTAAATTCCAGATAATTTTTCAAGGCAAGATTATAGTTTATATATAGATAAGATATATAGTTTAAAATCATCGCATTGCTTCAAGTGTAAGACGTTTTCACTATGGCTTTTTCATTTTCCTAGGTAAGCCTCAAAAAACAGCATTAAATAAAACTTCACAGACATTCATTTCAAACCATGCATAACAATATTCTGGAATTTTCAGAGGAAAATAATTTAACAAATGGAGAAAATATATGGATGAAAATTTTGAGAGGCATTTTCTACTAGTTTTAATATAATTTAATTAAAACCTAATTAAAATATCATTGTTTAACTTTAAAAATTATTCGTTTTAAGGTATCCGACTGAATTGAACCAAATTTTTTTTTTAAAAATAGTCTTATTAAAATTTTATATTTTTTAGTGCGCAGTGATCCTAACATTAGAATTCCAAAGTCAACTTTAAAATTTGTTTAACAAAAATTCTTCAATTTAAGGGAAATTTTGAGCATACTACAGATTTTTGAAGTCGGACCAACAGTTCTATAACAAATTGTAATGCATAAATATCTATATATTTTTTTCCTAGATCAATATTCCTGTGTTTTAAACTAAACTCTTTAAAAACACTCTTCACAGTTAGACCTTACCTTAACATTCTTATTAACTGTTTCCTATTCTTATACTTAGATCTTAACTTTCAATACATAGCTAATTTACACTTAGACCTCAAAACATAGCTGACGATATATAAAATCTACAAAGTTTCAAAGAATTCTATATAAACTTTTTTATGAAATGAGTGTTTAATCAAAAAATCAACATCTGAAAATGCGTTTAAAGTATGTGATTGCCATTCTGCTTCGTTTGTCAGCAAGTAAAAAAGTTTTAAAAAAACTACAACTTCAATTTCAAAAATCGGAGAACAAAAGTTTGAAAGATTTATAAAGTTCATAAATGAAATTTCAAATATAGACAGTAAAAAAATCAAAATTTTCATCGGAATTGCCAATTTTCACCCAGCTGGATAGTTTAAATTTTATTAGGGTCTTTACTTATTTTTTTACTTTTTATTTGCTGTGTTTTTACGAACATTTTTACAATAATGATATTCTAGCCCAGTTGTCGCCTAAAAGCACACCAGTACCTCGTGAGCAACTATTCTTTTTTTGAAGACATGTGTGCTTGCAATTAAATTTAAATTAATAGATCAAAAGCATTTAAAATATAAAAACTATTAACACCCGCTCCTCCTCAACCGGCCGCGGTAACTTTATCATCGTTGACCGGTCCGTGGGGGTAAAAAGGTTGGGGAGCACGGCTCTAGGCAACCAAATTTCATCTTGATAGTTTATATAAGAATTTGAAATATTTACGAATTTATAGAAATTCAAAATGCTGCTCAATATGGATTTTATTACCTTACGGTTATGAATTTCCTTGAATTAGTAAAAGAATACAAAATATTTAATTCTAAATTGACAAAACTATATTTGAAAGAAACGCGCTTAAGAGCAGCAGAATTTTCAAAAGAAAGAATAAATGAAGGCTTCGGTGATCATATTTTTATTCGGATTTCCTTGAAGTTATTTTATCAAAAATTCTTTTTCTTCTTTAATTTTAACGATTTGAAATTACAGAAATTATATTAAAAAAACATATTAATTCACATTCCTACAAAACTTAATTATAAACCTCATACACATTAGTATAATAGAGGAAGAATGTCATACATTTCTTGTTTAGATCATGAAAACTAAATTGAAAAATTTTTTCTTAGGGGATGATTTATCTGCACGATTCTCCTATTCACTCTCATGGGAACTTGAAAACTTCCAACTGCCTGGTAGATGGTAGATGGGNTTAATGGTTAGTCCAACTGGATTTAATTTTTTTTACCCTGACTTCATTAATGATTCAAGAGGTTTCAATAACTTGCTTTTATCTTTCTCGCTTAAATGTTGACTTGCGATCCTTGCTGTTGTATATTTTTGACTTCAGCGTAACTTGATTTACTTTTGTTTTCTGACTGCTTGATGCGTCAATGAATATGGATGTGGTATTTTGAGAAAAATATTATCCGTTCATGAAACACTTGAACTAAAAAGTTACTAAAATTATTAACTAAAAATGTGTCTCTTCATTTAGATGCGAGATCTTCATCATGAGAATCTGAATTCATTTATTGGTGCCTGTATCGAACCTCCTAACGTATGTATAGTAACAGAATATTGCTCAAGAGGAAGCTTAAAGGTCAGATTACTTTTTTATTTGGAGTTGAACAGATTGTTTTAATTTTTTAATAGTTCTGTTACAAACACTTTGTTTTTATGCTTTATTTTTTTAATTTGATTGACATAAGACTACTTTAGTAATTTATTTTTAATATAATTATCAGGATATCCTTGAAAACGAAGACGTAAAGCTGGACAACATGTTTAATTCATCCCTTATATCTGATATTGTTAGAGTAAGTAGCTGTCATTAATTCGTTGTTGTGCGTAGTCAGTTAGTAAGTAGTTGAAATTACATGCTTTTTTTGCGAATAATATATATTTTTAATAACTGCTGCGAGTTTGAAGACTGTTAATCATAACTGTTAGTTCAAGTTTAGCCTGTCTAAAGCCAGCACTGTCTACGCTTAATTTGAAAATGGCGTAAAATGTCAATATGAGGAAAATCCACAGTTTTGTGAATATGAAAAGCATTTTTGGTCTAATTTTTTAATATTAAAAAACTTACTCCAATGTTGCATTACCAAAGCTCATAAAAATTTGAAAAAACTAAAAATAAGGCAGCGATTTTTAAAAAAGTTTGATAACTTTTAAATATTTAAGTTTATTGTCTGTTCTAAATTCCAGATAATTTTTCAAGGCAAGATTATGTATATAGTTTAAAATCGTTGCATTGCTTCAAGTGTAAGGCATTTTAACTATGGCTTTTTTATTTTTCTAGGTAACAGAGCTTCAAAAAACAACGTTGAATAAAACTTCACAGACATTCATTTCAAAATATGCATAACAATATTCTGAAAATAATTTAACAAATGGAGAAAATATATGGACGAGAATTTTGAAAGGCATTTTCTACTAGTTTTAATATGATTTAATTAAAACCTAATTAAAATATCATTGTTTAACTTTAAAAATCATTCGTTTTAAGGTATCTGATTGAATTGAACCAATTTTTTTTTTAAATAGTCTTATTAAAATTTTTATATTTTTTAGTGAGCAGGGATCCTAACATTAGAAATCTAAAGTCAACTTTAAAATTTGTTTTAAAAAATGTTTTGATATAAGGGATATTTTGAGCATAAATACTACAGACTTTTAATGTAGCACCAACAGTTCTATAACAAATTGTAATGCATAAATATCAGTATAATTTTTTCCTAGATCAATATTCCTGTGCTTTAAACTAAACTCTTTAGAAACACTCTTAACACTTAGATCTTGACTTAACATTCTTATTAACCACTAAACGTTCTCACTAAAAGCATGATAAAAATGATAAATTTATGCTTAGACCTTAACTTTCAAAACATAGCTAATTTACACTTAGACCTCAAAACATAGCTAACGTTATATAAAATCTACAAAGTTTCAAAGGATTTTATATAAAACTTTTTTTTGAAATGAGTGTTCAATCAAAAAAATCAACATCTGAAAATGCGTTTAAAGTATGTGATTGCTATTCTGTTTCGCTTGTCAGCAAGCAAAAAGGCAAAAAAAACTACAATTTCAATTTCAAAAATCGGAGAACAAAGATTTATAAAGTTAATAAATAAAATTTTAAATATAGACAGGCAAAAAAAATCAAAATTTTCATTGGAATTGCCAATTTTCACGCAGCTGGATAGTTTAAATTTTATTAGGGTCTTTATTTATTTTTTTTAATTTGCTGTGTTTTTCCGAGCATTTTTACAATAATGATACTCTAGGTCAGTGGTTCCCAACCCCCGGTCCGTGGACCGGAACAGGTCCGTGGAACAAATAGTACCGAGCCGCCAAAGGAACATTAAATTATTTCCATTTTAACTACTGTGGTGTATTTTTCTCGGAATTGTGCAACTTTCTTTGATCGAGAGGTTAATTAAGCGCTGATAGCCGTCGCCTAAAACCACACCAGTACCACGTGAGCAACTATTCTTTTCTTTTGAAGGCATGTGTGCATGCAATTAAATTAAAATTAATAGATCAAAGGCATTTAAAATATAAAAACTATCAACATCCGCTCCTCCTCAACGGGCCGCGGTAACTTTATCATCGTTGACCGGTTCGTGACGGTGAAAAGGTTGGGGTGCACGGCTCTAGGCAACCAAATTTCATCTTAATAGTTTATATAAGAATTTGAAATATTTATGAATTTATAGAAATTCAAAATGTCGCTCAATATGGATTTAATAACCTTAAGGTAATGGATTTCCTTGAAGCTATTCTAACAAAAATTCCTTTACTTCTTTATTTTTTACGATTTGAAATTACGGAAATTATATTTTTAAAAAAAAATATTAATTTACATTCCTTCAAAACTTAATTATTAACCTCATACACATTAGTATAATAAAGGAAGAAAGAAGCAAGTTTTCAAAAATGTCATACATTTCTTGTTTAGATCATGAAATCTAAATTGAAAATTTTTTTCTTAGGGGATGATTTATCTGCACGATTCTCCAATTCACTCTCATGGGAACTTGAAAACTTCCAATTGTCTGGTAGATGGTAGATGGGTAGTTAAACTCTCTGATTTTGGACTTCACGAATTAAAGTTTGGATTAGATTTTGAAGATTGTGAAAAAGATTTTGAAGAACAGTGTGAAAGTAAGGATATGAACGCGTAAAAAGTAAATCAACTGGTCTACTTTTTATATTCATAATATATAATAAATTTACTTTTTGAAGGGAAAAATACGTCATTGTATCAAATTTTTAATCAAACTCTTTATACTTTTTTTCCCATTCAAGTAGTTAAAGGGTTAAAGGTAGCTCATTTCCTAGTAGTTGCTTATTTCCAATGTTTTGTCTTAAATTTAATGACGTGACCAAGTTATTCATCTAAGCTACTAGTAGCTTTGAAATAAGAAATCCACTTTAAAATATTATGTCAGTAAGCAGTAGTAGTAAATGGCGACTTTCTTACAAATTTATTTCCCCTTTGTGTAATTTAAGTACAAATTTACCTTCATTAAATAGTTAGTCTTAAAAAACTAACCAATAAATAATACCTATTTTTAATATAAATTCATAAGTGAATGTTTAAAAGAACTTGTTGGATGTTTCAAACAAAATTAAACTTTTGTATAAAAAAATTATATAAAAATAATAATACTTCTTTTTGCCATTTCAAAACAGAATTGTTGTGGAAATCTCCCGAGATATTAAGGGATCCTTATGCTCCAAACGAGGGTACACAAAAAGGTGACATCTATTCATTTGGAATAATACTATATGAAATCATTGGTAGAAAAGGACCTTACGGATATATTAAAATGACACCCTCAGGTATAATTTTACTTCAATTTCATTTTTATCCTTATTAAAACGAATTTCTATTAATCCATTCTTCTTTTATCCTTATGAACTCACATTTATATTAATCAATTTCTCTTTTATTCTTATAAATCCACTTTTATCTTTGTCAATTTCTCTTTTATTCTTAATAAATACATTTTTATATTTATCAATTGCTCTTTTATGCTTGTCAATTTTTTTGTCACTAGAAATAATAAAAAGCCTGATCCAACGAGACAAGTGTCCTCCTCTTCGACCAAATATATCTAAATTGGAGGCTGATAATGTGCCAGAATGTGTTCTGAATTGCATGCAAGAATGCTGGTGCGAAGAACCAGAATATAGGCCTGACTTTAAAATTATCCGTTCCAAATTGAGACCTATGCGAAGAGAAATGTAAGAAATTATTCGACTTGAGTTTAAATGTGTAAACATTCCATGTGTTAAAAAGAATGAATAATATCGTTAAAAGTATATAATAATTTTATATGAATGAAAGTATTAAATGTGTAAGCATTTAATACTTTATAATACATTCCTAAAATATAACATCTTTTAACTTGTTTTGGTTAAATATTTATTAACAAAAATTTTGAATGAATGATAAAATTTTGATCTGAGCATAAAAAATTGATCTCGATAAAGCTTATTATTTTGTGTAAAAGTAACTCATATTTTAAATCTAAAGTTAAGGGGAGAGATCGTTTAAGCGGTAGAAAAAGTAACCACACATATTTCAAAAATTTTTTTCAGTAAAAGAAAGAAATCAGAATTCTGTGGAAAAGGCTCTTTCATTAACTAGTTTTTTTTCTACCAGAAATGTCAATTTTACCAGAATTTTTTTCTCCATGTAGATTTAGAAATTCTTGAAATGTTTTTTAGTTAAGAAATTTATTTTTAAAAAAATGGAAATTCCGATAGAAAATTGCCAGAAAATTGTTTCTAGCTAAAAATATTAAGGCAATAAAATTTTATCCCGAAAAAAAATCAACAAGTTGTTTAAAGAACATGATATTCGTCTTAAATATAATATTCTTTTAAAGTTAAATATAATATTCAGAAAAATAAATTAAAAACACTATTCAGAATATAATATTCGGAATATAATTAATAGGAATATAATTAATAAGAATATAATTAATAAGAATATAATTAATAAAAATATAATAAAGTTAATGCGTGAATTCGAGTTGTTAGGAGTCCGTAGTAATGTAATGTAACTTCGATACAACCTTTTAATGTTCTCTAGGCGCTAGAAATGGATTTTGAAGAGCTGCTCCAAAAATTCAAAACTCGAGTATTTAATTAATTTTCTGCTTATAAATCTTACCCTTAGTTAAGATTTGATTTGGCTTAGTTAAGATGTTAAAGTGGATTTCTTTAACTGATTTTTTAATCAAACTTATTTGAACTACAGTAGGTAATACATACCATTAATATTTAGGTTGAAAAATTCATGCTGTGATAGTTTTATGCTAGCACGTACCGGTACTTAAATTAAAAATATTGAGAAAGGTATTTAAGAACTAAACACAAGCTGGAGATTTTATCTTAATATTTAAATATCATTTTAAAATTTTTATTGTCTAAATATATATTTTTCATATTTCAATATTAATTTCTTTTTTTCTCTTAAAATTATTCAGAATAAGTTTTAATCGAACCGGCTCTTAAATAATTTTTGAATCTCGTCCTTAAGCTCCTGCCAATCTTGAAACTATTTAAGCACAGATGTTTAAAAATCATCACTTAGTGTAATTGTTAAAGATTCTTGAAATTGGTGGCAGATTAAAATTAATTTTTATACATTCATAACATGAAAACTATCAGCAAAAACGTTTTTTCAATGAAAAAGATTTGATTGCTTAAAATTTACGAAATTTTATAAGCAAAAACATTTTACCCAGCTTAATTTTGTATTCGAATGTCCTATTTTCCAGAAAGCCTAACATTTTCGATAATATTTTGTTAATGATGGAAAAATATGCGGATAATTTGGAAGCCTTGGTGGATGAGAGAACTAATCAATTGAACGAAGAAAAGAAGAAAACCGATGCATTGCTTTATGAAATGCTTCCAAAGTAAGTGCTAAAACAATAATAGAATTTATCATCAAAAGTTTCCCAAACATTTTCCAATAACTATTTAGAACTAAAACTAATAACATACAAAGCCGAAGAATGCTAATATAATAATAGTTTTCGAAACAATTTCTAGTTATTATTTATCACATTTGTTTTGTAGTCACTAAATCAAATTTGAAGAAAATAGTAAAGCAGCAGTATTTTCTAAAAAATTTTACAAATTATTTCTTTAAAATGTAACTCTTAAATTCCATAGTTCTAAAAGAAAGAATTATTACGAACTCCAAACTTTTCGTTCTAGTATAATTTATATTTTCTTTTGGTATAGTTATTGTTAAGTATAATATTAACAAGAATTTTGAAACAGTTTTTTTATTTTATTTAATTTTTGACAAAAATTAAAACCATTGTGTTAACTCTAAAATCAGTACAAATAAAATCACAAAATATTGCTTATTTTCCCTTAGTTAAAAAAATTTAAAAATTATTATTTTCTTTATCTTCTTTTACATATGAATTTTTAACACAAATTTCTGTACTCTAATAAAACTTAATTTTTTCAAACAAAAAGACTTTGAATAATGAAAATGGTGCTTAATCATATATGTCATACATTTATCAAAATCCATTTTTATTTTTTTACTATATAGTTCTTTGAATATAAATGTTTTTTTTTTCTTAAATAGAATGTATAGAATTGCGAAATGTTGTGACAATTTTGAATTTACAAAAATACTTTAAAGCAATGAGTAACACACCTCAGCTCTTAATTTCAAACATCTCACCATATTTTAATGATAATAGGGGAAAAAATTTAATTAACAGCAAACAAAGAAAACAAAGCGCTTTTTTCATGAATTCTAGTTCGTTAGCTAAAAACTTCGTATGTTTGCCCTTTTTTTTCCTTTTAGATACTAAATATATATATATNATATATATATATATATATGCGCAATGAGTGTTCTCTTGTTCTCTACTTATCACCTTTAGATACATTTACTGTTCTCCGATTTCTGACAACCTAGCAAGCTAGAGCCATGGAGGCTCAGCCGATAGAACACTCGTCTCCCAATGAGGTAACCGGGGTTTGAATCCTCCTAGCAGTGGCTGGTCGATTCGAATTCTTCCTCCAGCTCGCACTGATCACAGTGTAACATAAAAAGTCCTCAGTTATAGACGGATCATATGACTGGGAGACCTCTTTTTTCTGGTGTCGGAGGGTTTGCCAAAAGTCGATTTCCTAGTAGAAGTGGTGTCTTCTAATTTTAGCAGGTGTCCAAGCATCTCATACGATATGTTTTAATAATTTGAGCGATGTTGGGTTCTTAAAATTTGTTGTAAAATTCACTGTTGTAAAGTATTCACCATATGTTATTTTCATTCTCATTACCATAAATTCTCATTACCATCTCATTCTCATTACCATCTGGAAAATATTTCTTTCTAAGATCAGCAGTTTATCTTCTGCTATCTCAGTAACTGGCAGCTATACAAGACTCGTAGTCGAATTTGGGTTTTATATAAATATTGATCTTTGATGCTTGTTTGAGGAATTTCGATGTTATTCTTTTTGGCCTATTAAAACTTCTGTTTGCCATCATGATTCACTAAAGTAATTTTAATTTACTTATTCTAAAGTAATTTTTGTTATCTTAAAATTTCTAATCTTATACACTTAGCTCTATTCTCCATTAAAAAACCATTGTTTATAGGTATGTTGCAGATCAACTGAAAAAAGGACATAAAGTACAAGCTGAATCTTTTGACTGTGTAACAATATTTTTCAGTGACATTGTTGGTTTTACGTCAATGTCGGCAAGGAGCAGTCCATTGGAAGTGAGTATTTCAATTTAAGATCAATTTCGCCATTCAGGGAATAGTTCTCAAATGGTCATAAATTAATATTTTTCAGTTGTAGTTAATAAAGTATCTTATTTACAATTTAAATTAAAGATATTTCATTTCTTATGCGAAAAATAATGTTTATTTAAATTGTTATATTCTCGATATTTACATTTGCTTCGCTAAAAATATATAAAATAAATGTTACTTTCATGTGGATATTTCCTGAATGGGCTTTTTTCTGCGTGAAACTTTTATTTCTGCATGATGTAAGGAACATATTATTTCAATATTATTTTCAAATGAAAACATATTTAAATTCAAATAAATTAAGTTAGAATATATTAAATTAAGATATAGGCTGTCTTAAGTGGTATCTCTGAAGTAATTAAAGTAAAACGATAGGAAAAAGAAATGAAAATTTCGCAGTGTTGTGTAAAGGAATACGAGGCCAAAATATTTCCCCCCTTAAATTTCGACATCACTTGAGAAGTTCGTCAACGAATGTTCGTAACGATGTCTCAGTGAAAAAACTACAAAAAAGGATTTTATGCTACATATCAGACCATTTGAATTAAAGTATTTACAGGAGTTCTTGTTGTTTTTTCCTCTAACTGCACCAAACTGCTGCATAAAAATAAAAAAATTCTGAAAAATTTTTTTACATCTTTTCTTACTATAAAGCGCCATCTGCTCACGAACTTAGTAATTATTTTAAAACTTAAGGGAAGCCTTAGTTTCTTAAACAGAGTGCAGCAAACAGAGCATTTTTTTTCTCCTTCCATTTTTATTTCCTTATATTTTCAAATTGTTATTTATTTTCGAGTTACCTGGTATATTCAAGTCACAAACGTTAGAAAAAAAGTTAAAATATATTCAACTGTAAGCAGTATATTCAGTTACAATTACTTCTGGTAAGGATATAACCCTAACATCATGAAATAAAAATAAATTCATAAGAGTTCTGATTTTTGTTGTAGCTATTGTGTTATAGACCACTAAAATTAGACTTTTTCTCTGGAAAAATGAATTCCCAAGATTTTTTTCTCACAAAAAGCTTTGTTATGATACCTGAAAATTCAACTACCCTCCTTTGTACGCTTCCCCCTTTTTTGAGAGATATGAGGGAGAGTTTAGAAGAAATGTTAAGACGTTTGCTTTCTTCCCTGTCTAGAAAAAAATTATTAAGTAATTTCTTTTAAACAGGCAAGTGAGACATTGTTTCGAATGAATCTTCTAATGCTGAATCGAATGGTACCAATCCAAAGACGATCGGGTGAATAGTTTAGAAGTTATAAGGGTTTTATATACAAAAATTATTTTTTATGACACGTACTTATGTCCAGCCTTTACATTGGCGTCCAAAGACTATCTAAACATGTAAGATATATTTTCTATGGTAATATTGCATACTGAAATGATTGATACGAAACAGGAATTGATAAAATAAGTAGTTAAATTCGAAGGACTAATATTTCCAGATTTGAAATTATTTCTTTTATGAAATGGTGCTATATATGAATTGAACTCATTATGAAGAAAATCTTTGTAACTACAAAATGATTTCCTATAAACTCCTTGATCTCATTCGTTATAGAATAAAAGCTTTCATCTGAAATGCGTCCTATATTATATATGCGTCGTTTCCAAAACTCCACGCTAAAAAAGTAAAAAGTGTTCATAACTCATGCCAAAGCTAGGGGAAGTATACAGAAAAGAGTGGGGAAGTTTTCAGGTATCATTTATAATCACATAATAAAGTTTTTTTTTTTTTGTTCAAAAATATTTTGGATATTAATTTCTCAAGAGAAGCACCGTTTTTTTTCCTATAATTACTGATATATTATGTAATATTCTAATTCATCTAATATTTCTTCATTACATATTTACTTTCTCGACGGAGTGGAACTTGATCATTTATTTCAATTACTTAAATATCCCTTATTCTTCAAGATCTAAAGTTTAAGAATATTTTTTTTCCTATGCTAAGCTAAAGAAATACATTAATATATTCGGTATAGATATTAATTTTTTTTCCAAATGTTTTTAGCTTCATATTATTATAACTCATTATGTCTAGTAAAACTATATTACAGGTAAAAGTTAGTGGTTTATTTTTTATCAATACTTCAATGAAAAATGGATACGCAGTGGAATCTAACTTCGAACTTTAACAAACTGAAATAAAATAGCAAGTTTTTTGTAGATAAAAAGTGTTTTAAGTTTTTTAACTTTATAATTGACAGCTGTAGTGCTGAAATTTCATTAAACAAGTTTTTATCGAAAAAAACTTTATTTTTGTATCATAAATAGTATCAACGAATACCAGACCTAAATATAGTTCGATTATTATGAAATTTCAATTATTCTACTCATACCAGTTGCAAAATCTCTGGTTATAGTTAAAAATCAGATATGATATTAAACACTAAATCAATACATTTCTCTCGACTAAAAATTCTCCCAGTGCTGCAAATACCCAATTCAGACCTATCGCAAAACACATTGATTATGACTATTTCGACCATAAACCTACTTTAAAAATTCCATGAACGTTGGAATCGCATTTTTCTTCGAATGATAGTACAATCTCAACTTCAATTAATTTAAGCGTCACTACGTGAATCGAATTGCAGAACTCAGGGGATAAAAGTTTTTAATAGCATTTTAGTGAATTTCATTACTTAGCTTTGAAGTTTACACGATGGCAAAAGGAAATAAAGAGATTATATCTTGCCTTTATTCTTTGTTAGCAAGCTTTTATTTGGGGAGATCTATAAATATTTTGCATCTATTTGAACAATTTGCGCCATAGCGTTTGCTCTCTTGGAGTTTTAATTTTTGGCCAAAAAAAGCGTTGGCCCTTTGCTGCAAAATGCACTTGGTACCTTCTTCCCCTCCGAAAATACTCACTTAGTACTTTCAACCACTCAGATCTGTGAAATTTAAAGATTTGGCTAAATGAGGGTATATTGTATAATTAAATAAAAATTTTACTCGAGAAATATCAAGTATTTTCAAAAATTTTACTTAGAACAAGCAATATTAACAAATATAATAATTTTAACAGTGCATAAATAATTTCAACGAATGACAAATGCAGTAGTTCCCAATACACTAGATTCGAACAATTCTATTTATCAGGTTGTGGACTTTCTTAATAATCTGTACACTTGTTTCGATGCCATCCTTGAAAATTACGACGTGTACAAAGTTGAGACAGTTGGAGATGCATACATGGTTGTCAGTGGATTACCAGTCAGGAACGGAGACAGGCATGCCTCAGAAATCGCATCAATGGCTTTACACCTATTGGAAGCAGTAAACAACTTTCCCCTCAACGGCAAACCAACTGATTCTCTCTTATTGCGGATTGGTATACATTCAGGTAACTCTTACTAAGATAATTACGTATAAATTTCTTATGCTGCTGATGCTGAACAAAATTTAAGTAACAGCAAATGAATGTAATATAAGCTTGAAATAATTTAAAAAATATGCATAATTTAGTTTTATGATAACATTTATTAGTATAACGTTGAATCTTATTTATTTATGATTAAAATATACAAAAAAAAAACTTATTGACAAAGGGATTTCACGCCTGTTCTTTGCCACTCGCTGTCCGCACGATTAATTCACAACCATTTTTGTTTCCTAACTCGAAGCAGATTTATCAAGCAAAATTAGAAATTATACGATTAAATTATCTTCTTCTTCAATACTACATCCTGACGCAGGCCAAGGCTGTCACCATGAGCCTATTTGACACAGTCTGGATCAATAGATCTCCATCGGTTGACTCCCAAAGATAATGAAATGATCCTTAAATGTTTGATTCTTTTAACACAGGTTTTTCATACATTCGTTTCTCGATTTCATTGGTATCTAATTTAAAATTAATTAATTTCCTCAGTTACCATTGCAAACAAATTTGCTTCATTAAAAAAAAAAAGTTTACTTCATCATAAAACTCGTTGAATGTTTTTCACCCTATTTTTAATTCCATCAAATTCTCGTCTTTAGCAATAGTGCGAAAAGTTAATTCATCGTATCTTTATTAAATTTTAAATGAGTATTTTTACTAAACATTTTAATTGTACAATAGATGTTGACTATGCATATTTTTGCAAGAAATATATTATAAAAACTAATATATCTTGTCAAAAATTGGACCTAACTTTTTCAATTTAATAAACATCATTTACAGTTTTAAATCTCTAATTTTGAATAAAATTATCAGGATTACTACTTTCCATTTAATAGAAATAGAGCAAAATCAGCAAATTATAATTTTGGCATTCACCAAACTCTGATAAAAAATGGCGTACATTCACACCTTACCTTAAACACATAACTCACAGAAGAAAATCAGTTCGTACAAGCAAATGGTATAGTAATGTATATATATATATATATATTGAGATATCACTTACAGATTTCCAATAGTCGAATCTTGTCCGACTAGAACATTCATAGAATGGTGTGGAATATTTCAGAGTTCCTTCACACTGTGAGGTCTGGTCACCAGACTTAGGAGGAGATTCACACACGCTGATGCTGTGTCTCCTTTCTCTACTCCCCACACTTTCTGCAAAATAAATTTAAAAAAACATTTCTACATTATCGATACATTTTCTTTAAAGTTAAATAAACATTACCAAATCTTTTCAACATTCTGAACCCAATATATATATATATATATTGGATTAGTTTGTTGAAAATCTGGCTCT